CTAACGCGACACTTCCGCCATAAAACTCGCTCTAATTCTTCTACAGGCCGACCCAGAATAACAATAGAAGTATTATTATGTGTAACCACTGTAAAAGTGCGGTTTATTCATTCACAACGAATTCAAATTCGTCAATCGAGACCAACGTTTCGACCTTGGTTCATTCTGCGGTCCGGAACTACAGTAATGTTTGAAGAGGTCTTCAAAGGCAAAGCCTGTCAAATCCGTGAAGGTTCGCATCCTTTATCACCGCTGACATGCACGTACGATTGGATAATTAATGCTTTACTGATGCGTCAGTTTAGTAAGCTTCTTTCTATAATGATATTCAACAATTTGACTATTAGACAGCGTGACCTTTCTCCGCTTAGTCAAACCTGTGGCCGAAAAATTACTTAATCAGCAGCACAGCATGTGTCAAAAGCACATATTTTGGCTTCGTACATCCAGCTAAAACAGATGGGGACCACAGAACGAAGTCCTCAAATCAACTCTGCGAGAGACGAGCCGAAACTTCGGCGCTGGTTAATCATCCGACTGACCAAATTATTTGTTTGCATTATGAATAAACCGTTTTTGTACGGTTTTGTTTTCAACATGATCACCAACACATGAACCGAAATAATCGGTATAAGAACGCTTATACAACATATTGTATCAATCCACATTCTGGTAAAAAGTATTGACATAAAGGATTGAAAGAACTCAACTAGTTTATTTAATGTTTATTGATTTTTCTTCGTTTCCTTCGCTTGTTATTTATGTACCAATCTTGGTAATTATTATGATAAAATATCAGTTACAACTTACATGGATAAACTAAAAACACCGTAGAAGCGTGCCAGTTTAAACGGTCCCTAGGCAGAGACGACGGGACAATGTCGTGTTAATCCAGAAAAATAACGGTACATTATGATTATTATCGGCGGTATCCAAAATTAGTAGATTGTTAACAAACCCAAGAGACGCCGCGAACTTTTATCAAATATTACTAGGCTTTTGTTCGAGCCAACAAAGAGTTGTGTCACTGCATCCATTCACAGCAGGTCCTCAAATACCACGGAGTCGTGGACACCTTCAATGGCACATTACTTAAGAGCAAAGTGGTGGTGAATACACCTTGAAATCTGGTCTTGGAACAGTCATCCGCTATTTACTACACTCGGGCGTACGATCATCTTATGACCTTTATGCAATACAAGGTCAGAATACCAGATTCTGAAAATCGTTTGTGAGAAGCCCGAAGTGTCTCTAGAGGACAAAATGATGCGAAATACACTTGGCACTGCAAGTTCTCAAATATCGTTGAGCCGTCGTCTACTTAAATGGCGTCTTGGGCAACTAAGATCAAGGGGGCGGTACAATATGCCTGTGAATCAGGAGAAGTGGCATGAAACTGTTACAACATACAGCTAGGAGCTAAGCTTTGAATTGCCACTACTTTATAATCAACTTCTGCTGTCTGCCAACGGCATCTCATCGACATGTTCATAACGGAACAGGAGTGAAACGAAGACTAGCATCAAGGAGTAGGTTGCATGTGTACAAATTAAAAGTCTCTTCCGGTACTGCCGCTCAGCGTTGCACTTTTGCCTTAGGCAAATATTGATTCACCTCACTGCTCGAGTCTTCGGTAACATCACATTCCCACGAGAGGCGAGGAAACGACGAGAGTTACTCTCATGCAACCTGATCTCGGCAATACACTTCAAATAAAGCGCTGAACAATGCTGAGTCAATTATGAAACCATGACTCAAAACAACTGCACCAAAACACCGAAAATCTATGATGATCTACTCTTGCCGTGTATCTAAAGCAATTCAAAAATCAAGGCAAATATATCAGTTGTGCCACAGAGCCTAAATGAACTAACCATTTTATACGTAATATGCCAACATTTATAACAAATACACATCATTACGGCGGGGCTGACAGAATTTTGTGGCAAAATGCTTAAAAGGCATTCATGCAGCAGTGGATCGAAAACGACTAACATCGAAATCATAAAAACATCAGTGATAAAGTGCTTTTGCATTATCCATTCTTTAAGACATATATGTATGTTGAAAGTTAAAGAGTTTTACTATACTGGTAGATAAATACGTTTATCTATGACCAAACAAACACTAATTTCAAAAGACATTTAATTCGTTTTTATTAAAAGTGTTCGTAGTACTTATTAAAGTATATGTTAAGTCTCCCGAAGAAATTTCAAATAGAAACAGCTAATGATTCGAATTTAAATTTGATACACAGTCTATTTAAATAAAATTCCTACGCTATTCTGATTTATTGTTAAAATAATTTGATGACCAGTGTTCAGTCCGGAACAAGATCCGCGACAATCCCGCATCTCATGGTGGTGAACCACCTGCAGGAAGAATCCTGCTTGGTGCATTAGTCCCCATCTGATGACAAGCCTTACCAGAACAGGGTTCATGGTTTGGATTCTGAGACGGATGCAGTTTTGTCCGATGCACAGACAAATAACTGCAGAGCCCTAGGTAGATGTGTGGCGAAGAAGAGTGGAATTGAAAGTTCTGTTGAGGCTGTGCCCTGATTCAGACAATTCTCTGACCCAACCTCGTGTTGGTACAGTTGTCTAAGAGGTCGGCTTCGAACTCCCCTAAGGTTCCGAGTTCGCTTCCGCTCGAGAGCAGTCTAGTGTAGTCTAGACAAAATGACCCATTCATGAAAGTGAAGGAAGACGGGCATTCCAACGATGACAAACTTTCCTCTTCCTTTTTCTTTACCTAAGCTCATCACGCATTTTTCACGTCACTCTGGTCATCACTCCAGCTCGGTGGAGAGAATTTAAAAGGCTGGGTAACACGACTGACTGGGATACTAGTCAAGACAAAATACAAAAAAGAAACGACTGATTATTGCTTTTTTTGTTTGACTGCCTACGTTCAACAGTTTTCATGTCGAATTAGAATGAAACCATATACGAGGCGAACGAGCAAAAGCTCGATCTTAGATACTCAGCAGAAACCGTTGCCTAAATGAGAGTGATGACGG